CATACGTATATTAACATGTATGAACTAACTAAAACATAACTTTCATGTACAAATACATAAACAAAACTCTAAACATGTGTATTTATGTTAAAAATCCCTTTTTAGGCAAAACCCATGTTAAATCTCTTATAAAACATTTCAGATCTGGATTTTAAATTCACAAAACATTAGTAGGTTATTTATCAAACTGAAAATGCACATCTTCATGTTATATGCAATAAAAATCCAATCTTTGTACACAAAATACGTTTTAGGCCAAAGAGATCTCAATAAAACCATTTGAAAACATTTAAAGAGAATGGGACAAGGTTGGGCGAGATGTTACTCGCCTCTGAGGTGATGAAGAGCTCCTGGATCTGAGGGGGAGTGATTCCTTTCGCTGCAAACTAAAAATCCCGCCGAAAATCCTCCGATTCCTTCCCCAAATCACCAAGAACAAGGCTAGGGTTTGAGAGAGGAGAGAGAGGGCTAGGGTTTCTCTGAACTGAGGATGAGAGGGGGTGTTTTCGGGTGAGAGGGGATATATACCAACGGTTAAACCCGACCCAAACCCGAACCAAATCAAAACAGACCCGAAACCTGAAAAACTGGAAATCAGCGTATCAGTCAACTGATGTGTCGACTGATACAGTCAGTCGACTGATGTGTCGACTGATCTGGACATTTTCAGTTTTTGTGCATGTTTTGCTTATTTGCAAAACCAACACACAAAACTCTACACCCATACTCTCATATCATCTCAAATAACTTGTTATCATGTACATCAATGACCTCAAGTTATTTATCATAAAAGAATTATTTATTTACTAATAATTTATATATATTCATATAAAAGAATTTCGGGGTTCTACAGTAATAGTCTGTAGAAAATTTGTTATGCATCTTGGATTTATAAGCGATTTGGAAAGTGACGATTTTGATGAGGAGATAGTTATCATTTTATCTTTCACACCCTTATTATGCCTAGGTTGCCTAATGGAATTTATGGCTTCACTCTATTTTATAGCTCAAGAAATGAAAAAGAGAGGTCTACCTCCCTGCAAAATTAAATACCTTGAATGGTTTATAGAAGAGACCTCACTTGCTCTTGGCTATGACTTGAACATGGCTTCAATGAACAGATGATTAGCGTGGGTTGATAGTTGGACATGAAAAGCTTGCACAAAATTTTATTGAGTTTTTAGTACTTTCACTTGTGCTAGATAACTATCCCCGTTTAACAACATACTAAAAATAAATGCTCATGCTCATGTCTAATGTGTTTTATGGTGCAGAAGCATCCATAAACCCTGAGTTTTTAATATTTGCATTCTACGTTTTATTGACCATGATCAGCAGCATGGATTTACTACACTAATAAAGTGTTAGGATGTCCTTGTCAATTTACCCAACTATCAAGATTTTAAATGTCGGCCGACATGTCTGTTTGATGGTTTGAGCGACACGACATGAGCGTTTTCAACTCGTATATCGGTTTTCAGGGCCAAATCGGAAATATCGGGGCCACATCGAGCATATCGACCGATTTTTCAGCTTTGAAAAATCGGCCAATATGACCCTTTTTTTAGATCTATTTTTTGTTATCGGGTTTGAGTTTAGTGATAAAAACTCAAGCCCGTTTGACCTGTTCTCATGTTAAGGGTTTCTTATGAACCCGATAGAAAGAAAAGAGAAAAATTAGGGTTGCAGTGGACTTGGGAACCCATCACTCCTTTCGTGAACGACGACGTCCTTTCCCCACCTCAATCTCGGCCCCCCATCGTCCATCTCCCGTTGCGCCCCGAACTCCGAACCCCAATCGAACCCGAGGGCGGCAGGGTATCCCGTCGTCGGGATGAAAGAAAGAGGGTGGTCGGTGACTCATCTGAAGGACCCTGAGCAGACAAAGAAGAAGAGCCCCACCACTGCCTCCCTGCGACGTCCCGTCGCCGGCTCTGCCTCGCCTCTAGAATTTGTAAAGTATGCTTATATTGAATTTAGAAATGCTTAGATTATATTTAGGACATGATATTATTGTTAGACCCTAGAGGAGGGTGATTAGGGTCTTATGCTAATCTAATCCGATTTTATACCAATTAAAACTAATAACAAGTTATCCTAACAAGTATGAAATATAACAAGTTATATAAGCTAGGATAAGCAATATGAACAAAAAGATATATCCTAGCAATGAGATATACTATGAGATATATGTAAGGATATACAAATTAACACAAGGGTGAAATAAACATAAACAAAACAAGAATGATAGTGTGCAAATAAACAATGTAAACATACAATATGATCACAGAGTTCGGACCTTCCGTCCTACGTCTTCGCTCCCTACTCCCGGGGAGAAATTCACTATCACAACCGGGTTTTCTACGCTTACTCGAACAACGTTTACACCTCACACTCGGTTTTTTAGCTAACCGAAAACTTTACAACTACACACTTGTAATCACACTCTACACCCTCTAAGTGTTGGCCTAGTCCGTGTCCTCCTCAAGTACTCGGATGCGACCTCTCCCTAGGTTCGTCAACCGACGTCACTCCTCTTGAATTCGACCCTGTCTCTCACCAACCACTCCTCTCGGTGTACAAGTGTATTACAAAGTGTATCCTCACAATGAAGCTCACAAATACAAATAATTTGTTCTCTACAATAGATGAGAACACAATATAGGCTCAATCTCTAAGTTACACTCCCTACAACCCAAATTATACTATGTATGAAATACAATAAGCTCAATGGTTGTGTGTGTAAATAATGAGATACAATAAAACAAACTAAACTCAAATAAATCTAGCTTATGAAAATTAGAATCAAAACAATAAATAGCTAGAATGAGTTTAGGAAAACTTCTCTATAGATCAAGAGTGAGAGAGAGATGAGTTGAATGCCCAAACTTCAATTGATGATCTCCTCAAGCTCTTGTGAAATTGTTTTCACAAAATCAAACTCTCAAATGCTTAAAATCTTTTTAAACAAACTTAAACCAACCATAAACCCTTGTTAAAACTTTCTTAAACTTGTTTAAAACACTCTCATGGGTGTTGTTGGTAGAAGAGGGTTTGAGGGGTTTATATAGGAAGAGAAATCAACAGCAAAAACCCCAAACAAAAGACCAGAAATCCCAACGAATCAGAAATCTGATTCTGTACAAAATATGACCGTTGGGCGATCGGCGGTCGACCGTGGAAAAATCGCGGTCAACCGCGAGCAACAAAACAACAGAGGAAAGTCTTTGGACTCCATCCGGTCGACCGTGGCGGTCGATCGCGAGAGCATCCGGTCGACCGCGAGCCTCTGAAAAACTTCCTGAGTCTCTGGACTCAGGGGCGGGCGGCCCTCGGGGGGGGGGGGAGCCTCTGAAAAACTTCCTGAGTCTCTGGACTCAGGGGCGGTCGACCGTAGCGGTCGACCGCAAACAGATACTGAAAATATTCAGGTTTTGAACCTGTTTTTGTTGATTTTAAAAATTTGTTAAATATAACAAATGATGTCAAAAAATAATAAAACTTTGGAAAATGTATATAAACATGTAAATGAACATGTTACAAAAGGAATTTCTCAAATTATATTTTCCATTTGTAAAATATCATCATTTTGCAAAATAGTCCAAAACATGAAAATATAAACATATGAGTTTTGATATTTTAGTTTAACCATGTTTTGAAACTTTACAAAATGATTATATAGACTTAATAAAAGATGTATATAATTGTTATTAAGTCTATAAACCAAGAAAATAATATTTTTAGAAAATTGCATATTTTACAAACATTTCAAAAGTAAATATGATTTCATTGAACTAAATAAAATTGACATTGATGAAATCATATATATGCATGTAAGTATGAAACAAAAATATGTTTTCTAATTATATTTAATTGTTTCATATTAAAACTTGAAAACTATCAAACCAAAATATATATGTATATATATAACTATATATATACAAAAACCAAAATGTGTATGTGTGTATATAATTGAGCTTAAAGTAACAACACACATAATATAAAACCTAAACTAAATTACCCAAGCTTAATAGATATTCGTAGTAGCTCAACTTGGTACACTTGCGGATGAAGCTAGAACTTGGATCTTCAATTTGAATTGCATAGGCTTCACTCCATAATTCCGCCAACCTCCATTTGATATGATCGTGAATGCTCGATTCCATCCATCCTCCAACATATTGTTTGTCTATAATAAATAACAAAATACAAATACTAGACAAACAATATTAGATGTAAATTGTTTGTTAAATCATCATCAAAATAAGAAGGCCAACAATTATACATATGAGAACCACCCGATATGGCAATCCGATATTTAGTTCATGTCCCCCGATATATCCCCGATTTCCGCTATCCAACATGGATTTCAGCCGTCTGGGATGAACCCGACATCCGACATTTATAACCTTGCCAACTATGCAGGTCTATCTGGAGGGTACGAGATCAAAATATTGTCAATGAAAAATTACATGGGACCCATGAAGTATGTAATTCGCAGCTTTTTCGAACATACAAATTTTCACATCTAAATTGCTATAAGACTAGCTATCAGATGTTTTTGTTAGGCCCACCTCAACCCGCACTAGATCTCAGAAAACCAAGCTATTTAAAACATCACATCAAATTGCTTGAAGTTTGCTTCTTATAATCTGAGATCAAACTGAAGCAGTTAGATGATGTTAAATATCTAGAAAGAAGTTTGAACCTTCTGATGCAGCGGCATGTTTTACCTGTTATTGGAGACTGTTCACTTTTTCAGGAAGCCTATTTGATTTTAATGTCCAGTGATTATGTTTCCATCTTCCTAGATAATATTGCTCACTGACATTTATAACTGAAGAGCCAAAATTGTTTATTTTCAAACCTTTCCTTTAGAACTGTTTTTTTTCCCTGGATAAAGTATCTTATGGCTTATAATAATCTATCTAAAAACTGACTTTACCTCTTCCATACCAATATCTTTATGACATTAATTTTTTTATAACATAATAATGCAGTGGAACGATTGTTGTTGCTTATTTGATGAAGCAGCATAGGATGAGCCGGTCTCAAGCTCTGGAACTTGTGAGGAGTAAACGACCACAAGTTCAACCAAATTTGGGTTTTGTGCTTCAACTGATAAACTTCGAGAAATCTCTTGGAGGTAGACAGTAAATGTTATCTCATCATTTAATATGCATTTTATTGTAAAGTTGACTCCATATATTTTCTTTCTAGTAAGCGGAATTAAGAGCTAGTTTTGAATTTTTAAAAGAAATTACTTTTTCTGGACTCAGTGTGTCGAGTAGTACTTCTATAGCTATATTTTGACAGGCATATCTCAGTTTCTCCTTCATAGTTGCATCTTCTCTGCGTATATCTTTGTACTTGATTCTTAGAACAAGTTCTACAACATGATCCCACTTTTTTATTGTTGGGAATATACTCCTTGTAGCAAGAGTAATTTCTTTCTTTTTAGCTCTTCAGATAGTTGTCATTTCACAATTTTAATTTTCTATTCAGTCTCTGACTTGAATTGGCCTTGTTTTAACTACGTCATCGAGATTTTACCTATTCTCTGCGCTAGGTTACTTCATCAGTCTCAGCAACTTGATTACTGATCAGGTCATGACGTTCTTCAATAGATACACCTAGTTGCCGAACTTTATTCTGAATTTCATGTGATTATTGTGATATGAGTTTCTAGTCTCGCATAATCGGTACATGTATTGCTGGATTTTGAAGTATATTGCCTTATCAATCCCCTTTGACTGCCTCTAGCTTCAAAAATTTAAGCCGTTCTTATGGATGGCGGCACCAACAACAAACCCCCTGACTTATGGTAATTATTACAATCCTTACTTAGTTTTTAAATAGTTGGAGGTTAAACTTGTGATTTATTTTGTAAGTGGATTAAACTTAAAAGTCCACAAACCATATCTGAATTGCACAAAACTCTCAGTGGAATTCTGTCTTTCATGCATCACAAATTTAGCCTGAGGCTACTTAAAATCCAAGGATTTTATTAACTGTTGTAAATTAACAGGGTTTTTCTTTTTGAACTTAACGAGGTTTTTTTCTTTTGTAAAACTGGCTCTAGATCAAGGGATTTTGTTGTAATTTGCACATAATTTTTCTTCTTTTGTCCCTGTGCACTCACCGCCACTGATCTGGGGGTCACAAGTTCTGAACAGTTTGATTTTCCTGCAGTGCTTCAAGACAACTCCGGCTAAAGGACTGCAAGCTTAATATGCACAAATAATGCTCCGTAAATATTTCCAAGAACTCTCCTTCCCTTTGGCAAATAAGTTTTGAGTAAGCTTCCAATAAGGAACTCTCAGAAATCAAAGCAACTGCTCAACTGTAAAAACATAGCTGATGGAGGGTAATGCGAGCAAACTCGATTGTAGAAACATGCTGATTTGGTTGTAGAAACATGATTGAACGCAAAATGTAGGGTTTTTTTTCTTATTCCTTCTTTGTCCATTATATTTGTGTAATAGAAAATTTTCTCAACAACATGCTGTATTGTTGGCTCTTTGGTTTTTCTTTAGTTTTCATTGGGGGCAGAGACGCTGCCATGAAGTAATATTATAAATCAAGGAGACATTCTTTGGTAATAATTTTCAACAGAGGTCCAGACTAGGTCTCACTTCAGTTCCAGCAAGCTGAGGTGGTAAAGAGGGGGCATGAAGAACAAATCTCGACGGAAATTCATTTGTTTTTCAATATTGCGATTCTGTGAAAACTTATTTTGACGTGATAATGTAAAACTTGTATATTTTCCGCAGACTTGAGTGCATTCGGATGTGTTAAATAACCACCGAAGGAATTTCATGAACAGCTGAATCTGTTACTTCAACTGGCAATCTGAGAATGCTGAAGACTATAAACCAAGCTGTCCATTTGGATGTTTTGATAGGGAAAAGTACATAATAACAATGTTAGAATCTGAAATGTGATTATTTGGTTTCTATTCTTAGAGGTATAGAGTTGAAATACAAAATATCATTATGCGTCTATCACAACTAATCATAAAAATTTATTGGAGAGAACAAACCCATATGTTAATTACTACAGTAAGAGAAAAGGGGATGAGTCGGGGAATTTCATAATGCACATTGCAGCTCCATTTTTTTCAGCCGTATGAGGTTTGATGAGCCGTCGGAGATGGTTGATCTTTGCTTTTTGGCTGGTGATCAACAAGAACGACCGAAAGTTTGGGTTTAGCTTGAGTTCTAGGCTGTTCATCTTAGCATAGGTTGACCCAAGTTTTTCTATCGATACACCTACCATGTTCTAACTCAAGTTAAATCTAACCAAGTAGCAGGCTGCTCTGGGTCCTTTCAGGTGGATTTGGATACTCTCCGCTATTAAAAAAATAGTGAAGAACCCACTACCTATGTCACAACCTTTACTTTAAAAATAGGTGGTTGTGATTTACCTTTGAGTGCAAATTAGGGAATAAGTACAAATCATAGTGGTATAGTGAGTGTTAGATTTGGAATATTTTATAACTATCTAATGGACAAATTAATGACTATGATTAATGCAGTGGAATATTCTATAACTATCTAATAGATGATGAATACTTATGGAATATAGATAGTTATTCCATTGCATGCAGCTCATGTAAATTTGCAATGGTATTTGCTGATAGCCAATATGTAACACCTTTTAATTAGTTGCTTAAATATGGAGAATTTCTAGTAGAATCTCCGTAAACGTATGTTCTTTAGCATGTCTCTGCTAAAATTTGTTTCATTTTCTAGCCTGTATACTCTAGCTGTGGATGTTACATTCGGTACTCTTATCTGTTTATGTTTTTATCTGATGAAACTATCTCATAAATTTCAATAACTTGATATAGTTGAGAGCTTGAAGCACAGATAGAGTAATGAATACGTAAAGCATGCTCCAATATTTTTTCACCAATATTTGATATAGAGATGTGCACAGGTATTTAGTTCTCAAACTATTTTCAGTTAATTGTTTATTTCTCTCTACATTGCATTAGCTCTGAAACTTACCGCGATTCTATATATAGTGGTCTACTTTAGTTAGTAAGTATTGGAGATATTATATGTAATTATGCGGTCATAATTATTGTATATTAGATAATATTGCTAGATTTAAATCCAATATACGGGCCAATATATTAAATAGATATGTATTGTATGCTATCAATCAATGTTAGCCCATTATATTATCTAATTTAGGGTTTAGTTTTTTAATGCATAATTAAAAGTATGGGCCTCCTATATATATAGAGACCAAAATATAATTGTTAATTCTATGATGGGCTGAATTGATAATTATGAATAACTCATTTAGATATAAATAGGGTTGTGATTCCCCAAATCTCTACGTAGAATCTCTTTCTGATTTTCCATCTTCAGAAGGATTAGGGTTTCTCTAAAGAGGATATATACATACAAGATTTGAAAGATCTACATCTCAAAAATTCAAAAATATATCACTTCCTACTCCATGGATTCAGATATGGTTCCACATCTTCTTAATTATCTCAATAGTTTGACATGAACAATCTTGGGATTGATTAGGGTTTTATCTATTACAGTAAAAGTTTTCTTCTACACTAACAATTGGTATAAGAGCGGTGTTCATGCATGTTAATCTATTGATAATCCATTTCAATTTGTGATGTGATTCTTTTGTTTGTTCTCAAATCTAACAATCATTTCTTTTGTATTGTTTAATTTGAGAATAATACTTAGTAGTTCTTCCTCTTATATATATTCTTCATGATTTCGGATTCAAAAGTGGTATTATATATTGAATTGTATGAATCCGAATTAGAAATGTTCATGTTTAATTGAAAAGTAGGATTTGTTTATCATGTTATGAATATGTATAATTTTTGAAAATTTTGGATGCTTTGATTCAATTTTTATTATGTGTTTATGATTATTTAATTTTTGGAAAAATTGCTTCAAGGCCCCAAAATAGAGTATTCAAGTGGCCCAGCCCCATGTAGTTTGGCCCATATGCTAAACCCATTAAAAATAAAAAATAATGTGACCCAACTCTAAGATATCTTCCTGTACCCGTATTTTCACCCACAAACCCGAAAATACCCCTCACTTTCTCTCCCAACCTCGAAATCGAGATCCGAAGCTGGAGATCGCTCCTGGTCGCAATTAAGGTGACTTGATGGTGGTTTTGGGGGAAAAGTTTTGGGGTTTCCCTCCATTATATCTCCTCTTAACCCACTCTTCTGTGAATAGAGTTCATTTATGGTGGAAAGTGCACATTTATGAACTTAGGGATTATGATCTTCAACACTCCTCTTGTCCTAACGTTCCCTCCATTAGTCCTCTTAAATCCCTTTTATTTATGGCAGAGAAACCCCTGATTTGCATGGTGTCCTTGGGGTGAGAAAGCAGTGCTCTCAAGGATAACACATGCAACCTCTTTTTTTGAATTCAAGTTTGACATGACTGAGAGATTGAATGTTCCATTTGACGCGTTATCAATGGTGTATAAATTTGAAATGATCCATGATCTCAGTTTTGAGATTGAGAATGATGATGATATGAAGTGTCACATCCCGGGCCCACGGACTCGTTGACGCGTGAAAGCCACAGGACCTACCGAGAGCAACTCGAGCGTTGGCTCAATCCACGGCCAAAATGCTAATACTAGTTGTTCTTGGGCATTAGGCTTTTATCTATTTAAACAACTGACATTTCTTCACACTAGTCCATATGAGACTAAAGTGAGGGTGTCACAATCACCTCACCTTACAAAGATGACATCTTCATCGTCACGATATAACAATTGGCACATACCAGTATCACCGCCAGACGATGTGGACTCTAGAGGTGGCTCCTACGGGCTCTAAAAATGGCTCCCACTGCATCCACACGGGGTAGCACTTAGCCTCGTAAAGCACTTAGCTCCACATTTTCGGTTGGCAACTGCTATGATACAATTTGTCATATCCCGGGCCCATGAGTCTGTTGACGCGTTCAAGCCGTGGGACCCATCGAGAGCAACTTGAGCGTTGGCTCAATTCACGGCCAAAATGCTAGCACTAGTTGTTTTTGAGCATTAGGCTTTTATCTATTAGAGTGATGTCCCTAGGTTCACACAAGGCTGCAGTCCAAGCTGAAACCAAAGATGTCAAACCTGCTATGCACCCACACCGTGCAATAACATGTTTCACCAATCATAGTTATATCCTCTAGTGGAATCAAATGGATGTGTAGGTACAAACCATGCAGATAATGGAAATAGTACAAAAACAGAATATACACAAAAAAAGTATATGAGAAAAAAAAATCAACAAATGAGCCAAACTAAAATAGAATAAGAATATCTCAAAACTGTAATAAATATATCATGTCTCAAAATAAAGAGTCAAAAGGAATCTCTCTAAGGCACTCCGCCTCTACAAAATAAACAAATACTAGACAAACAATATTAGATGTAAATTGTTTGTTAAATCATCATCAAAATAAGAAGGCCAACAATTATACATATGAGAACCACCCGATATGGCAATCCGATATTTAGTTCATGTCCCCCGATATATCCCCGATTTCCGCTATCCAACATGGATTTCAGCCGTCTGGGATGAACCCGACATCCGACATTTATAACCTTGCCAACTATGCAGGTCTATCTGGAGGGTACGAGATCAAAATATTGTCAATGAAAAATTACATGGGACCCATGAAGTATGTAATTCGCAGCTTTTTCGAACATACAAATTTTCACATCTAAATTGCTATAAGACTAGCTATCAGATGTTTTTGTTAGGCCCACCTCAACCCGCACTAGATCTCAGAAAACCAAGCTATTTAAAACATCACATCAAATTGCTTGAAGTTTGCTTCTTATAATCTGAGATCAAACTGAAGCAGTTAGATGATGTTAAATATCTAGAAAGAAGTTTGAACCTTCTGATGCAGCGGCATGTTTTACCTGTTATTGGAGACTGTTCACTTTTTCAGGAAGCCTATTTGATTTTAATGTCCAGTGATTATGTTTCCATCTTCCTAGATAATATTGCTCACTGACATTTATAACTGAAGAGCCAAAATTGTTTATTTTCAAACCTTTCCTTTAGAACTGTTTTTTTTCCCTGGATAAAGTATCTTATGGCTTATAATAATCTATCTAAAAACTGACTTTACCTCTTCCATACCAATATCTTTATGACATTAATTTTTTTATAACATAATAATGCAGTGGAACGATTGTTGTTGCTTATTTGATGAAGCAGCATAGGATGAGCCGGTCTCAAGCTCTGGAACTTGTGAGGAGTAAACGACCACAAGTTCAACCAAATTTGGGTTTTGTGCTTCAACTGATAAACTTCGAGAAATCTCTTGGAGGTAGACAGTAAATGTTATCTCATCATTTAATATGCATTTTATTGTAAAGTTGACTCCATATATTTTCTTTCTAGTAAGCGGAATTAAGAGCTAGTTTTGAATTTTTAAAAGAAATTACTTTTTCTGGACTCAGTGTGTCGAGTAGTACTTCTATAGCTATATTTTGACAGGCATATCTCAGTTTCTCCTTCATAGTTGCATCTTCTCTGCGTATATCTTTGTACTTGATTCTTAGAACAAGTTCTACAACATGATCCCACTTTTTTATTGTTGGGAATATACTCCTTGTAGCAAGAGTAATTTCTTTCTTTTTAGCTCTTCAGATAGTTGTCATTTCACAATTTTAATTTTCTATTCAGTCTCTGACTTGAATTGGCCTTGTTTTAACTACGTCATCGAGATTTTACCTATTCTCTGCGCTAGGTTACTTCATCAGTCTCAGCAACTTGATTACTGATCAGGTCATGACGTTCTTCAATAGATACACCTAGTTGCCGAACTTTATTCTGAATTTCATGTGATTATTGTGATATGAGTTTCTAGTCTCGCATAATCGGTACATGTATTGCTGGATTTTGAAGTATATTGCCTTATCAATCCCCTTTGACTGCCTCTAGCTTCAAAAATTTAAGCCGTTCTTATGGATGGCGGCACCAACAACAAACCCCCTGACTTATGGTAATTATTACAATCCTTACTTAGTTTTTAAATAGTTGGAGGTTAAACTTGTGATTTATTTTGTAAGTGGATTAAACTTAAAAGTCCACAAACCATATCTGAATTGCACAAAACTCTCAGTGGAATTCTGTCTTTCATGCATCACAAATTTAGCCTGAGGCTACTTAAAATCCAAGGATTTTATTAACTGTTGTAAATTAACAGGGTTTTTCTTTTTGAACTTAACGAGGTTTTTTTCTTTTGTAAAACTGGCTCTAGATCAAGGGATTTTGTTGTAATTTGCACATAATTTTTCTTCTTTTGTCCCTGTGCACTCACCGCCACTGATCTGGGGGTCACAAGTTCTGAACAGTTTGATTTTCCTGCAGTGCTTCAAGACAACTCCGGCTAAAGGACTGCAAGCTTAATATGCACAAATAATGCTCCGTAAATATTTCCAAGAACTCTCCTTCCCTTTGGCAAATAAGTTTTGAGTAAGCTTCCAATAAGGAACTCTCAGAAATCAAAGCAACTGCTCAACTGTAAAAACATAGCTGATGGAGGGTAATGCGAGCAAACTCGATTGTAGAAACATGCTGATTTGGTTGTAGAAACATGATTGAACGCAAAATGTAGGGTTTTTTTTCTTATTCCTTCTTTGTCCATTATATTTGTGTAATAGAAAATTTTCTCAACAACATGCTGTATTGTTGGCTCTTTGGTTTTTCTTTAGTTTTCATTGGGGGCAGAGACGCTGCCATGAAGTAATATTATAAATCAAGGAGACATTCTTTGGTAATAATTTTCAACAGAGGTCCAGACTAGGTCTCACTTCAGTTCCAGCAAGCTGAGGTGGTAAAGAGGGGGCATGAAGAACAAATCTCGACGGAAATTCATTTGTTTTTCAATATTGCGATTCTGTGAAAACTTATTTTGACGTGATAATGTAAAACTTGTATATTTTCCGCAGACTTGAGTGCATTCGGATGTGTTAAATAACCACCGAAGGAATTTCATGAACAGCTGAATCTGTTACTTCAACTGGCAATCTGAGAATGCTGAAGACTATAAACCAAGCTGTCCATTTGGATGTTTTGATAGGGAAAAGTACATAATAACAATGTTAGAATCTGAAATGTGATTATTTGGTTTCTATTCTTAGAGGTATAGAGTTGAAATACAAAATATCATTATGCGTCTATCACAACTAATCATAAAAATTTATTGGAGAGAACAAACCCATATGTTAATTACTACAGTAAGAGAAAAGGGGATGAGTCGGGGAATTTCATAATGCACATTGCAGCTCCATTTTTTTCAGCCGTATGAGGTTTGATGAGCCGTCGGAGATGGTTGATCTTTGCTTTTTGGCTGGTGATCAACAAGAACGACCGAAAGTTTGGGTTTAGCTTGAGTTCTAGGCTGTTCATCTTAGCATAGGTTGACCCAAGTTTTTCTATCGATACACCTACCATGTTCTAACTCAAGTTAAATCTAACCAAGTAGCAGGCTGCTCTGGGTCCTTTCAGGTGGATTTGGATACTCTCCGCTATTAAAAAAATAGTGAAGAACCCACTACCTATGTCACAACCTTTACTTTAAAAATAGGTGGTTGTGATTTACCTTTGAGTGCAAATTAGGGAATAAGTACAAATCATAGTGGTATAGTGAGTGTTAGATTTGGAATATTTTATAACTATCTAATGGACAAATTAATGACTATGATTAATGCAGTGGAATATTCTATAACTATCTAATAGATGATGAATACTTATGGAATATAGATAGTTATTCCATTGCATGCAGCTCATGTAAATTTGCAATGGTATTTGCTGATAGCCAATATGTAACACCTTTTAATTAGTTGCTTAAATATGGAGAATTTCTAGTAGAATCTCCGTAAACGTATGTTCTTTAGCATGTCTCTGCTAAAATTTGTTTCATTTTCTAGCCTGTATACTCTAGCTGTGGATGTTACATTCGGTACTCTTATCTGTTTATGTTTTTATCTGATGAAACTATCTCATAAATTTCAATAACTTGATATAGTTGAGAGCTTGAAGCACAGATAGAGTAATGAATACGTAAAGCATGCTCCAATATTTTTTCACCAATATTTGATATAGAGATGTGCACAGGTATTTAGTTCTCAAACTATTTTCAGTTAATTGTTTATTTCTCTCTACATTGCATTAGCTCTGAAACTTACCGCGATTCTATATATAGTGGTCTACTTTAGTTAGTAAGTATTGGAGATATTATATGTAATTATGCGGTCATAATTATTGTATATTAGATAATATTGCTAGATTTAAATCCAATATACGGGCCAATATATTAAATAGATATGTATTGTATGCTATCAATCAATGTTAGCCCATTATATTATCTAATTTAGGGTTTAGTTTTTTAATGCATAATTAAAAGTATGGGCCTCCTATATATATAGAGACCAAAATATAATTGTTAATTCTATGATGGGCTGAATTGATAATTATGAATAACTCATTTAGATATAAATAGGGTTGTGATTCCCCAAATCTCTACGTAGAATCTCTTTCTGATTTTCCATCTTCAGAAGGATTAGGGTTTCTCTAAAGAGGATATATACATACAAGATTTGAAAGATCTACATCTCAAAAATTCAAAAATATATCACTTCCTACTCCATGGATTCAGATATGGTTCCACATCTTCTTAATTATCTCAATAGTTTGACATGAACAATCTTGGGATTGATTAGGGTTTTATCTATTACAGTAAAAGTTTTCTTCTACACTAACAATTGGTATAAGAGCGGTGTTCATGCATGTTAATCTATTGATAATCCATTTCAATTTGTGATGTGATTCTTTTGTTTGTTCTCAAATCTAACAATCATTTCTTTTGTATTGTTTAATTTGAGAATAATACTTAGTAGTTCTTCCTCTTATATATATTCTTCATGATTTCGGATTCAAAAGTGGTATTATATATTGAATTGTATGAATCCGAATTAGAAATGTTCATGTTTAATTGAAAAGTAGGATTTGTTTATCATGTTATGAATATGTATAATTTTTGAAAATTTTGGATGCTTTGATTCAATTTTTATTATGTGTTTATGATTATTTAATTTTTGGAAAAATTGCTTCAAGGCCCCAAAATAGAGTATTCAAGTGGCCCAGCCCCATGTAGTTTGGCCCATATGCTAAACCCATTAAAAATAAAAAATAATGTGACCCAACTCTAAGATATCTTCCTGTACCCGTATTTTCACCCACAAACCCGAAAATACCCCTCACTTTCTCTCCCAACCTCGAAATCGAGATCCGAAGCTGGAGATCGCTCCTGGTCGCAATTAAGGTGACTTGATGGTGGTTTTGGGGGAAAAGTTTTGGGGTTTCCCTCCATTATATCTCCTCTTAACCCACTCTTCTGTGAATAGAGTTCATTTATGGTGGAAAGTGCACATTTATGAACTTAGGGATTATGATCTTCAACACTCCTCTTGTCCTAACGTTCCCTCCATTAGTCCTCTTAAATCCCTTTTATTTATGGCAGAGAAACCCCTGATTTGCATGGTGTCCTTGGGGTGAGAAAGCAGTGCTCTCAAGGATAACACATGCAACCTCTTTTTTTGAATTCAAGTTTGACATGACTGAGAGATTGAATGTTCCATTTGACGCGTTATCAATGGTGTATAAATTTGAAATGATCCATGATCTCAGTTTTGAGATTGAGAATGATGATGATATGAAGTGTCACATCCCGGGCCCACGGACTCGTTGACGCGTGAAAGCCACAGGACCTACCGAGAGCAACTCGAGCGTTGGCTCAATCCACGGCCAAAATGCTAATACTAGTTGTTCTTGGGCATTAGGCTTTTATCTATTTAAACAACTGACATTTCTTCACACTAGTCCATATGAGACTAAAGTGAGGGTGTCACAATCACCTCACCTTACAAAGATGACATCTTCATCGTCACGATATAACAATTGGCACATACCAGTATCACCGCCAGACGATGTGGACTCTAGAGGTGGCTCCTACGGGCTCTAAAAATGGCTCCCACTGCATCCACACGGGGTAGCACTTAGCCTCGTAAAGCACTTAGCTCCACATTTTCGGTTGGCAACTGCTATGATACAATTTGTCATATCCCGGGCCCATGAGTCTGTTGACGCGTTCAAGCCGTGGGACCCATCGAGAGCAACTTGAGCGTTGGCTCAATTCACGGCCAAAATGCTAGCACTAGTTGTTTTTGAGCATTAGGCTTTTATCTATTTAAACAACTGATATTTCTTCACACTAGTGCATGTGGGACTAAAGTGGGGGTGTCACATGAAGTGTATGGTGGAGCACAATTATGACGCCCCAGGGTTCACACAAGGTTACAGTCCAAGGTGAAATCTGGATTGGCAAACCTGCCAAGCACCAACATCATGCTACGACATGTTTTACCATCATAGTTACTATCTCTATAGTAGATTCAATAAATAGGTGAAGGTACAAAATATGAAAATAATGGAAATAGTACAAGAACAAAATATGCACAGAAGAAGTATATGAGAAATAATCAACAAATGAGTCCAACTAAAGTAGAATAAGAATATCTCTAAACTGTAACAAATATATCATGTCTCAAAATAAAGAGTCAAAAGGAATCTCTCTAAGGCACTCCGCCTCTACAAAATAAAATACAAGTCTAGAGTCTGAAAATAAACAACTATATGTAGAGTTCTGAAATAGCTACAAATATAAGTAACTAGATGGAATCTAAGATGCAATCCCATCAACCTGCGACTCTCCGTGCGCCGGACTCGCTGCCTGAAAGGGGGAAAAAACGAGCGTCAAAGTGCTAGCGAGATCATCTCCACCGCCCCAGGGGGAAGGAGTAGGAGTATATAAGAAAATAGAGTCAGTACATATAAGTATAAAAGCATTCATATAACTCTAAATGAAGATTGGTATTTAGAAATCTACAACACGAGAATTAGTACGTCGAGCGAAATAATCCAAACAAGAAAACCCTCATGTATATACCATGTCTTAAATTGTAAATCTCTAAATACCAATTCCAATCCTATGAATGAAATACAACACATAAAAGAAAAATACTCCAAACCTCAACCATAATGAACCAATGTCACATCTCGAACTACCCTCGGGTAGTTGACATAATCATAAGGAAGTATTATCCAACTCAAAACCACAATAGACCATATCATGTATACCACGTATCAAAGGTATACCCTATTCTTGGATAATCTATAGTGGAATCATACTACAACTGTATATATGTTTGCATCTCTACTTGTAATAGCGATACTCTTGTAAGGTTCTTACTCAATCGCTATGCGGCAATAGGTTTTATCTCCCTATTCCGGCTACATAAAATAACGATAGTCTTGTAAGGTTCGCACAATGACATGTGGCTTTAACTTTCTTACTCAATCGTTCTACAGTAATAGATTTTATCTCCCTATTCCGGATATGCTTCTAGATGATCGTACAATAGTGAATAGGCACATCAGCACAACCCGAAAAAATACACCGATCACCTTCGAATATTTGGTACAACCAAAGTCTCATTACGGGAAAAACAACCAAATACTCCTAGTGTGGTACAATCGAGGTCTTATTACGAGAAAAACAACCACACTGAGCATCCATAACTAATGAGCAATGCTTTATCATATGTTATTTTACTTTCATCAACTTAACGTGTGTCAAAAATCTTGACAATACATGTCAAATCAATACATACTAAGTGTACGTGCACCAATCTCGGTGTGCGTGTCAATATCTGGTGTTCATCAACCCTACACATGTCAAACAGCTCATAAGTATCATAATATAACTTGAAAAGATCGAGAAATCCCTCAAAAATGAAAACAGGAGTCAAAACATGCACATGCTGTTTGCCTGACTGGCGGTCGACCGTGATAAAGCGACGGTCGACCGGCGTTGCGATTTAGAAGCTGCCTAGGCTTCGGCCTAGCACGCGGCCAACCGCATATATACGGCGGTCGACCGGACCGTAAACAGCAGCCTAC